CCCCCCCCCCCCGCCTCATCACCGCTAGAGTGGCGGGGCAGCATTGGTTCAAGTCCGCCTCACATGCCGCCACGCCACATCCTACTTCTTTTATTTTTTTTCTTTTCTTTTCTTGTCTAGCTATGCTGTCTGTTGATTCAGATGAATAGTTGCTGATTTATAATAAAAGTTGTTGGATGTACTTAAAAAATTGTACATTGCTTAGTTTGAGGATATACCTAGAATCAAGCTTAGCTGAGGCTCAGATGGTGAACACACCTCACCTGATGCCCCTGCAGAGGAGATATAATATTACTGTACAAGTTTTTAAGGATGTAAAAAATGGAAGAAATGTAGTGAATTTGTGATCGTGACTGTACAAAATGTTGCCAGGCGGAGAGAGCCTTAAGGTCTTTAGGAGAGAGGCCAGAAATTTTCTGATGTATGGGATTTGATAATTTTCTTTCTTGTAGACTTTTTTCCTGATATATGGCTGAATTGTGTATTTTAATCTTTATTTATTTATTTTTTGTTTTGGTTAATCTTAAGCTAAGCTATGTCATTACCATATGAATATGAATGTTGCTTCTATTTGTTTGCTTGCTGGTTTTGCATAATTCTGATTCTATATTTGCCAAGTTGTAATGGATTGTTCAAATTTAAGAAATGTTTGGTTGAGTTTAAAAAAAAAAAGAAATATTTTCTAAAAATAGGTTGGTGAAAAAATGAAAAATTTGAAAAGAAATCATTTTTTTTTTTTAAATATGTAGTTTTCACTTTTTTGGAGGAGAAATGATTTTTGAAAATTTAAGAATATATATTTGTGGGTGTTTATATTTATCAGACTAGTTTCTGTTTTTTATATTTATATTCATGATATAAATACAATATAAAGTATGATGTGGGAGAATATATTTTGGGAGGACTATATGGTGATTGTATACTATTGACTTGACATCGAGGAAGAAGTCTTGTAAAATTTTAGTTTGATATGGTATTGAGTTTGAGCACATTGAATCACCAGTATGATCACACTTGGGGAGACTTGGTTTCAATTCAAGGTTGTTCAAGGAAACCCTAATTTTACTTCTCGTTGTTAAATTATAGAACGTAACACATTATGTTCTTGTCATTGTGGAGTTTGAGAAAAGTCAGGGGCATGTAGTTCTATTTTCTTAGGTAGAGATGTAATTGTTATGTTTTGAATGCATACAACTCCTTAAAATAAATAAATAAATAAAAATAATTGAAATATGAATGAGATTATTACTCAATCAATTAAGTGGCCGATAAGATTAGTTTCACAACTCTTACAACTATTTGTTAGTGACACTATGTACTAGCAAAAAAATAAAATAAAATGTTACACTCAATATTTAGAGATAGAGATTCCCTCTTACTAAAAAAAATAGTAGTTTTTTAGATACCTGAAATTGCTTCAAAGGAACTCAATTGTCTCCTAGGAGTCCAGAATTTATACAACTTGGATCGAATGAAGTGAGTACTAAAAATCAGAGAAGCATATAAGGGTTTTATTTTATTTTATTTAAATAAATTGTAAAAAATTGGTTAATTATTATTATTTTTTTTAGAAAAGTGATGCATAATAATATTGATTAATTGATTAATTATTTAAAAGCCGGAAGAAAAATGTTTTTGACTTCAATTTTTAACTAATAATAAACTACACTAAACAAGTCTATTATCTCATTGTAGTAGCAACCGCTCAAGAATCAAATTTCACACCCTTTTTCTTTTATTTTGTTACAAAAGGCACATAAAGATTATGTTCTCGTCAGTAATCCTATTCTTTGTTTAGAAATTTTGAGAGAGATTTGAAGTGAGAGACAATTTGATTCTCAATAAAATTCTTTGCATTTGTTTTTTTGTAGGTCATTATCTGAACACAAATGAAACATATCTTATATCAACAATGATATATAACTTCAAAAATAAAGCTTTAATCGTTCTGTTTGGTAGGATTTATTTTCAGCTTATTTTAATTTTTAGCTTAATTTAAACTATTTTAATGTGTTTGATTCAGCTTAACAATATAACTTATAGTTTTTTGTAAGTAAAAAATCAACTTATTCTTTGAATGGGGAGGAAAAACTTAATTTATAAGTAAAAAATCAGTTTATGTTCACAACTATAAGTTATAAACTGTTACGCTATAAATTATAATTACTTTTTCACAACTCTACCAAACAGGACTATTAATATAAGCTCTAGTGTTGTAACAAAAAAAAAACAAAAAAAAAAAAAAAAACAAAAAAAACAAAAATAAAAGTTAAAACATCGCATCACATAATATGACTCACCATTAAAGCTCTAAAACTCTTCTTCTAAAACTCCCAAACAATTCTCATTTTATACATGTATTTATTGCATGTTGCAGAAATAACTTCACCACCGCTGCGACATATTGCAAATTTTATTTATTTATTTTTTATTATTATTATTTTATTATAACTGCAAAGTCTGCAAACTACCACTTTTTTCTCCGCGCCCAAGTCCCAAAGTCATGCTCTACCCATGTGTGAAGTAACAACCATGCTAAGCTCAAGTTTGAGTAGACTAAATATGTGTATTTTTTGAATTTTTTTGTATTATGTATAGAAAAAGTATAGAGAAGATGTTGATTGATGTGATCCAAAAAAGATAAAAAGATGAAAAAAGTACACTTTTTTTTGTTAGCCAAACTTGGCCTAAATATATTATATCTATAAATAATTAAAATTAATACTAATTAAATTTAAAAAAAGAAAAAAAAGTTTGTGTTGCGTTTGAGATTTTAAGGGTTGTTTTGGGAAGATGGTAAAAAGTGGCTTTTTGGCTTTTAACCAAGCTTTTGGCTTTTTTAGACAAATGATTTGGGAAGTTGGTAAAAAGTGACTTTTGACTTTTTTGATTAATATTTGTTTATGATGTCAAATCATAATAAAATGACTAAACTACCCCCATTTATTTAAAATATTTACAACTGAACCTATGTAATACATTGTGACCCATGAGGGGTAAAATTGTAATTTCACCGTTGGCTAAAAACCAACTTGTCAAATGAAAAAAAAGCCAAAAAAACTAACTTTTGGCTTTTGCTACTAACCAAAAAAAGTGACTTTTAGCCAAATTCTCAAAATAAGCCTAAGAATCATTAATGCAGTCTCTCTTAACTTTACAATTGTGATTAGAACTGTGTTACATTGTTGATATTTTGATACGAGTTCAATATATTTTTTAAAAATTCAACTTTTATTTTATTAGAGAATTACTTCAAAATTGTATTTGCAAAAATTAAAATACGACTCCCGTTGTCTCTTAATTTTTTTTTTTATCAAAAAATAGACATTTTATGTTACGTATCCGAGACATGTCCTTGTTATGTCTGTGTGCTCCATGTGTCCAACATGACTATGGCTTGGTTTGGGAAGTGGGTTGGCGTTTTGGCTTTTTGATTTTTTTTGACTATTTTAGCCTGGGCTTAAAAGTTTGGTTTGGAAAAGGCTTTTTGGCTTTTTGACTTTTTTGAATTTTTTTGTGAGAGAATAATGTAATGATTATGGGTTGGATGTGATGTTTTGTTTGTTATGGCTAAAATAACCTATTTTATTTTTTGTGACTAAAATAGCCAAAAAAGTCCCAACTAAGGCTTCCCAAACGAAGCCTATAATACATGTTTTGAACTGTTGGTACTTTATAACTGATAGGTAAGTGAGCTCTTCTTTGGGATGAACTTTTTTAGTCTACTTTTTAATTATTTAACTATTTTAATCTGGCTAAAAAAATTATGTTTGAGATTATTTTTAATTTTTTTTATAATTGCTTTGATAGTTATGAGAGAAAATATAAAATACTTATTTTTTAAATGTAATATTTTATTTTATTAACTATTTAGACATTTTATGTGACGTATCCGAGACATGTCCTTGTTATGTCTGTGTGCTCCATGTGTCCAACATGACTATAATACATGTTTTGAACTGTTGGTACTTTATAACTGATAGGTAAGTGAGCTCTTTTTTGGGATGAACTTTTTTAGTTTGACTTTTTAATTATTTGACTATTTTAATTTGGCTAAAAAAATTAATTTTGAGATTATTTTTAATTTTTTTTATAATTGCTTTGATGGTTATGAGAGAAAATATAAAATACTTATTTTTTAAATGTAATATTTTATTTTATTAATTATTGTAATTTTTTTTATTTTAATTTTTATTGATTATTTTAGCCAATTAGTTGCACCACCACAGAGTGAGTGAATGAACAATCATCCCCAAAAAAATAAAAAAAAATAAAAAAATAAAAAACAAAAAATAAAAATAAAAATAAAGAGAGAATAAATTTTAACCTTGACTTTATATGGTACAGGCCTGCAACTTGGTCATTTCGGTAGGGCTGATCATTTGTTCTAAAACATCTCTATCTTTTCCTTTTGTCTTAATATACAATTTTAATACACTTTGGATACACAATACTAAAACACGATTCTATTAAAACACGATTCTACCATTAAAACACGAGAATATTAAAACACGATTCTACAATTAGAAGTGCAACCAGAGGGAGAGAGGTAGGAAAATTTGTCGACAGGGCATCCAATGCCATTAGACTATGTTTGTTTGGGTGAACTGAAGTAAGTTGGATTAACATTCTCATGATTAATAGTCTTACAACTATAATCTTTTAGATTATATGTCTTATCCTATGTTTGGATTGAGTCAGGATTATGAGAAGGGATTAATAAAATATTATCTAATCCGATGTTTGTTTAAGGGAATTGGAATGAATAGGACATGGGACATTCAATATATTGACCATCTATTATGATCATTTGATAAGTTAGTCCAGACTTTGCCAATTTATATCCCACTCCTTATGTGGGATTAAATAATTCATCATATGTGAGATATCATATCCGGACGAATTGTTAGTTTGTACTTTAATTTTTTAGCCAAACATTAAATTAATAATTTTATTAAACTATTAATCCAATCCCAAGCATATATTGGTCCAAATAAACATGGTCCTAATGTGGCGATTGCCCGCACCAATGACTTTATGGTGCATGCATAGACAAGAGTGCTTGCAATTGTTGATAATGAAAATGGTATTTTCACACACAAAGTACAGACTTGAACCAAAATATTAACTTCCAGAACCTTAAAAAAAACCTCAAACAAAGCCTAAAACAACAGCGAAACACATATGAGTGAGCCAATATCATTTGGAAGGACAAAAGGTAATGACATACCGTGGAGCCCTACAAGTCCTGAGTCCCGCGGAATTATCATATGCATAGCTATAAGCCCGGGGACAAATGGCCTTAAAAAGGTGTGAAAACACGGTAGGCTTGCAATTTCCAGGGTTAGCATATTCCCCGGTACAACAATACCTATCCTTCTTAGTAGCCAAACAAGCACTCTTACAACCCACCACCCTCCCCCGCCTCATCACCGCTAGAGTGGCGGGGCAGCATTGGTTCAAGTCCGCCTCACATGCCGCCACGCCACATCCTACGCCGCCACCAACTGGTGTCATTGACACCGGGAGGTTGAACCCGTCAACGAGGCTCACGTCGTAGAAATGCAAGGCTGATTTGGGGGTGCCAAGTGTCATTTCAATGAGAGTTGCAGGGGGTAGGCCACCGGTGCCGGTGCAGTGTAAGAGGCCGGAACAGTCCCCTGTTTGGCACGAGAATTTGCCGGTTTTTGTGTTGAAACGGCAGCCCTGACGGCCCCAGATTCTGCCTGACCAGTTTTCCGGGGCTTCGATGACGACTTGTTCGCCGATATAGAGGGGGAAGCCGCCGTCTTTGGGAGTCGGGTGGCCGGCTGTGCCGAGGATTCCGGGCCATATGGTTTCCTTGCAGTTGTTCACAACTATGAGTTGAGTCCCATCTGCAAAACCCATGTAAAAATTCTTCATTTTGTGACTGAGATTCAAGAGAAAAAGAAGAACCGTTAAAAGTGAATAAAAATTCAACATAAATGGCAGGAACATAACATGAAGTGGGTAAATTAAATTAGAAAAGCAGAGAGTGAAAGTTCAGTTTTGAATTTTGGTTGGCAAAGTGGTGGCTTTGTAAACTATACTCTTCTGATCTCTCTCTCTCTCTCTCTCACACACACACACACACACACACACACACACACACAGAATTTACCTGTGAAGGAGAGAGACATGAACAAGAAGGGGAGGAAGATGAGGTGCCAGGAAGTTGGCATTTCTTCTGAATCTTGGAGAAGAAAATAGAGAGAGAGAGAGAGGGAGAGAGAGAGAGATTCTTAATTGGTTTATGCCCAACTCCTTTTTACAACCGCATTAAGGAATAACGGTTTGAAAAGAGCAGTTTCTTCCTAAGTTTTTTTCGACTCCCACTTTTCTTTTGAGGCCTTTTTAACTAGGTAAGTTCTACTACTATCTAAATCCATCAGTTTATAAATTTCCCTTGTTTTAATCTCAACATTTTTTTTTCAGTGGCAGTCGTATGATGGGTACATTCTATTGAAGAGAAAGTTTAGAAGAAACTAATCATTATAATGGACGCACAAATTTTAGTTTTTCTTTTTTGAGTAATGTTAAGAATCATGAAAAAAATATCATGAAAATGATCATAAAATATTCTCCACTTTTGGATTACACATACAATAAAACACCACACACTAATCAACGAATAAAAAATTTTTATGATACATTTCATGATATTTTTTTTATGATCCTTAGTATTATTCTTCTTTTTTTTGCACATAAATTTCTTCTCCGTCAGTGCTCCACCAACACTAACAACGGGATAATTTAAAATATTCATAACTAATTCCACTATAATAAGGATTTTTATTGTTTATTTTGGACCCAGAGCAGGTCCATTCCTAACTACAAACATTGATTTTAACAATGGTTAAGAAAAATATAAATTCTAAGTCTAAATAGGTCGAATTTCTCTTTAGTTGGTTGAACTGTTTAATTCAAAAATTAAGAAAAATACGTGACTCGCAATTATTGGACTACTACAAAGTCGAGTCTAACGGAAACGAAAAAAACAAATTTTAATGGCTATTAGGTTACCACACTTAGTTAATGACGGGAAGATACGAGTATATAGGGAAAAATAATGAAATGCTTTTCGGTGCTTTTGGCAATAAAAAATTTGGATAATGTTTTCAAAGGTACCGTGATCATTATTATTGAGGGAAAAAGGAGAATGGTATTTCATAGTAACCAATCATACCTCCCACTTTGACATCCCTTTTCAACATAAGATCCTCTTGTCTCCCACGAATCCACTTTATGAATGATTTTTTTTGTAAGTTTGTGAGTGACTAAAACTTTATGTTTGAAAATTTTTACTCTTGGAGAGTGTTCTCTACATAATTTCAAAGATGCAAGCTGTAGGTTGCAATTCCCGGATTTCTCATATGTTTGCTTACTATTTGATGATACAGTTCGTGATAGTAGAACGGTCGGATTGATCCACGCTTCTTATGCCTATGTCCGAATGACCAAACCCACCTGAAGACTTGCACAAGAGTTTAACGGGGAACGGGGAGTCCCTAAACGAACCCTCCGACGAGCAAGTTAGAGAGAGAAGTGGAGTGTAGAGATGGAATAGAGATAGAAAAACTTAACCTTCTACATGCCTTCGACGTCTGCTTATATCCTTTGGTAATCATTACATTGTTTCTTCCGACCTGTCACCTTGGCGGAAAGTCTATGCTGTAGCTTACCTTGTTCAGGGTGAGGGCGTGTTGTCCCGACGGAGAGGGGTTATCGCAATAAATGCTGTGAGGGGGGCTCATTAATGGCAATGTGCAGTGGTAATAACTTTGCAGATCTTTGTCTGCTGATGTGGCTTGCCCTTTTCTTGCCATGTGTCTTGATGTCATTGGTTCTAATTGCTACATGAGGCTTCGGCAGTGCTGGGCTTCAGCATTTGAGATATGTGTTGGGCCCTAAATAGTGGGCTCTAATCTTTATGGGCTTACCCATGTCAGTAGTCCCTCATTCCAGAGTGCAGCTTTAGTCCAACGAAGGGAATATTGAAGAGAATAAGGGCTGTGAAAAACCGGCAGGGTGAAGGCCGACCGAACGGGGTGACCGACCATGAGGAGGGGCGACCTCGAAGGGTGACCGAGTGGGGGGGGACCGACCATGCGGAAGGCCGACCGCGAAGGGTGGCCGAGTGGAGGGACCGACCGTGCCGAAGGCCGACCGCGAAGGGTGGCTGAGTGGAGTGGCGCAAGGCTCGAGAGGCGGTGGGGCACGTGCTGAAGTGAAGTGGAATAGACAGGGAAGGGGAAATGGGCAGTGGATCGTGGACGTACATGTGGCAGAATCTCGTAATGGGGGAGGTTAGGTGTTGGGCGATAGGCAAAACGATAGGTCATTATAAGGTGTTGAAAAGACAGTTGTGGCGGAATTTTGAAAATTTTCAAACTGGCGAGAATTAATTGTGACCCTTGGAATACAAGCAAGCCGTAGGCCTTTGGTATTATCCGCTTTACCTACCTTTTTGTAAAAAATCAAAACATTCCAAGTGTAAACTCCTTCGTTACTAGCGATACACCCTTGTAACACTTTTTGAATTTTCTTGCGCCCGCATCTGAAGCCATTCGCAGACACACGACAGAAATGGCCCAGGAAGAAGCTACAACTGCCAGGGTTGATCCACTAGGGGACGACAATGCGGTGGAGTTGGCGGAGTAGTATAGGACGGAAAGGTAAGTGGAGAGAGTAAGGGAGCCAGCGGGACCATCGCGTTCGTTGACAATGATAGCGGCTCCGAAGCCAATCAACCAAGCTGAGCCAGCTCACTGGCATACGAAAGCTGACAAGTCGATCGTTACTGCGGGGGAGTTGGAGGGTATGCGCAAAAAATACCAGGTTCCCGCAGAAATAGAATTGATGCTACCAACACCAACAGAGAGGCTGTCCGACGCCTGGCCGGGGGAGTTTGCCCTCTACGAGAAGGCGTTGAAGGGTGGGTTGAGGTTGCCGCTTTCGCAAGTAGTAGTGGATGTCTTAAACCGACTGGAAGTGGCGCCAGGCCAACTAATGCCCAACGCGTGAAAGATTGCAATGGCCTATGCAAGTGCATGGCCGAGGGTGAACGAGGGGGCGACTATGACAGTGGACGAGTTTTTTGCCTGCTACAAGGCCTCCGGCTAGCAAGAAACTTGGGTCACTTTGCAGGCGGCGACAGGAAGGTCTGATGGCGGGGCTGCCGTTATCAATTAAGGGATGGAGGCCGCGGTGGTTCTACGTGTCCGCGAACGGGGGAGTGAGAGTGCGCACAGTGTGGAGAGTGCCCACCAAGTTTGTGGAGCCAAAGCTGGGAGCTGCAGCGGAGGAGAGGGTGAAAAAGGTGAAGGCATAGAGGGAGAAGGAGGGCGTCAAATGGGACGATCTCGTCCAGCCGTCCGCTTTGTTCGCCGCATGACTAGGCCCTCAGCCAACCAGTGGAGATCTGGCACCGGCAGAACTAGAAGCAAGAAGGAAGGCGCAAGAGGCGGAGGATCGGACCATTTTTGCCAAAGCCCAAAAGTTCAAAGAAACGCAGTTAGGCCCGCCACCAAAACCGGTCACAAGGGAAAGAATCCGACTACGCCCCAAGCTATTGGGGGAAAAAGACTTGGTCAGTTTTGAGCCGCGACCGCCCCTAGTTGATTCGGTGAAGGAGAGGGCAAACAAGGAGGGGGAGGCTCTGAAGAAGAAGAAGAAGATGAGGGTTGCCCCTGAGGGGGCCTCAGATGCGCCTGGGTCGAAGAGGATGAGGATTAGCGGGGAGGTTACCCCCATGGCGGAGGAGGCAGGGGAGAAGGGAGTGGGGGCGACCCCAGAAAGGGTGGTTGCCCCAGAAGTGCAAGGGGACGAAGGTCAGGGAGGCCAGGAGGAAGAAGAGCACCTGAGTGCCAGGCCCAAGGTGCCAATGGAGAGTGGGTCAGCTGACCCTAAGGAAGTGATGGAGCAGCAGCCCAATGGGGGCCCTGCGCCCCAAGAAAGGGGGGTCAAGGTGAAGTATGCGATCTACTATGCTCCTGCAGTGTCTGGTCGACTGGAGGGAGAAGAAGGCCCAACTAGGATAGCTGCAGATCTTCTTTTGGGGGTAGTGGATGAGGCAGTCGTGCGCTCCGCGACCAAGTTCAATGAGGCTGAGCTGCTAAGGGGGCTGTGCTCTGCCCAAATGGAGGCGACCACCTTAGCTGGGGCTCTGCTGAGGAAGGCGGCGACGGCAATGGGTGAAGTGAAACCGCTGAAGGCGAAGTTGGAGGAGACGAAGGCCTAACTTGAAAATTTCAAGAAAGAGAGCGCAGGCTGGAGGAAAACTGCGCGAAGTGCGTGTGCCAGGGGATTGGAAGAGGCTGAGAAGGCGAAGAAGATGGAGGTGTTGGCGATCGTGCAGCGCAGTGTTGCCGCTTGAGCCCATGTTGAGCTGCTCGCGGTCAAGTTGGAGCTGGAGGACGAACGCCGCAAGGTAGTGTCGCTCGAGTTCCAGCTGGCTGGCGAGCAGAAGAAGCTGAGGGATGCTCAAAATGCCTGCACGATCGCCACCGAGCGGTTTGAAGAGGCGATGACCAGCAATGAAGAACTGCACGCCCAACAGATCAAAGAAAATGATGAAGCAGACTTGAAGATTGCTGGGTTGCAGAAGGAGTTGGAAGATGAGCGTGCTAGGGCAATGGAGGAGAATGCGAGGTTGGAGAAGGAGTTGGAGGAAGAAAAAACCAAGGCAGCCTCTGAAAGGGCAGCATACCCCGATCTGTGCATCGCAGCAGTAGAGCAGTTTAAGGTGCCTGCAGACTTTCAGATGGCCATCGATGCTGCTATTGCCAGCAACTTGGCGAGAGAGGGGGCTGGGGGGGCTGGTCCGTCGGGGACGACCGCTGGGAGCAGGAGTGAAGACGAAGTGATCCAGAGCTTCTAGCGGTCGGACTTCTACAAACACGAAATGGCTAAATTCTGGGATAGTGGCTGGAAGATGTTCAAGCGTAAAGCAGAAGAGCTATTCCCAGACGTAGACTTCAGCAGTGTTAAAATTGACGAAGACGATGTGGCCCAAACCCCCTAGATGAAGGCATTGAAGAGGAAGATCTCGCCTCAAGTGAAGAAGAGGAGTGAGTGGAGTGCACAAAATTTGTACTTAAGAGTTTTGGTTGGGTTTTTTTTTTTTGTTTTTTGTTTTTGAATGGCTGTAATAAACTTATATACAAGTTTGTGAATAAATAAAATTTTGAGTCGTGTTTTCATGCTATTGCTTTTGTTTGTGCATCTGAAATGAATGAGAATGGTGACTTGTATGAGGCTTGTGTATAAATCACTGTGAAGTGCAAAACGTGAGGAAAACTCAATGTAAAGTGAAGTTCAGCTTGTAAGAATGTTAAAAATTGAAAGTTTCAAATCATGACCCAAAAGTGGAGTCAGTCTGGCTTGTAAGGGTCCCCAAGAGTGAAGTTTTTAAATGACGGTGTAAGGGTGTTGATAAATGA